AAAATAGGACGATGTGCTGATATTGATTAAGTAGTCGTCGTTGGTGTCAATATATATGTTTTCAAGGGCACAGATTCCATTTCGGTCAGTAACAACTGTGTAAAATGATTATTTTGCACATTTACAATATGACGGCCATTTTTGGCGGGAAGATGGAACGATGTGCGGATATTGAATAAGTAGTCGTCTATATATGGTACCAGGATATATTTTTGTGGGAGCAGATTCCATTTTTACCGTTTACAACTGTGTAAAATTATTACATGTTCACATGTTTAGCATATTTCCAATATGGCTTTCATGTCGGGCGGAAAAATGGGACGATGTGCTAATTTTGATTACGTAGTCCCGTTTTTGTGTCAATATTTGTTTTTCGGGGGCGCAGATTCGATTTCTGCCATTTACAACTGCGTGAAATGGTGGTATGTTCACACATTCAGCATATTTTTGTTTGTGGCAGGACGTTTTCTAAACACATTACTATAAAGGTTTCTGAATCCAATTCTGCTATGTATAAGCTTGTAGCATGTTCCTGGAAGCCTGTGCCGAGTTTACCCATTAGGTATATTATCCAACAATGTAATAGTTGAACTCCAGCGCAATATCATTCCACATGTTCGTTCTACATTCATCTTGGAAGTCAGTTGATAACATAATCTATGCTATGAGGGCTTCTTAGCAGGTATTTCATTTACAGCCACGTCCCCACCACTATCATCCACGTTGCTGCCAGGCTGGAACGAAGCTCCTGGCCATATGCTTGCTACGCTGCTACGGCTTTTATGTATATATAGGGAAGATACTGAGCCTCGTCCATCAGCTCCAGTCTAGCGCCCAAAGAGGAAACCTCAAGAAAACTATGAAATGTTCTTGATTGCTTGACTATTGGTTGTTTTCTGCTTTGAAAGTGAATGAGGACGGGTGATCGTGGCACAGTCCCTATAGGCGTGACGAGAGAACGCCTTACTCCTGGTAGGCCTGTCACTGAAGTGTGGTGAGAAAGTATTCCGGTCTGACTGGTAACCGTGAGATCATGGTGGGAACACTTTCCGCGCAGCCAGATCTTGGCAATGAGCGTAGAAAGATCTTGTAGTAAGCGCTTGGTGTGGTCGTTGCAGGCGCATGATGGGCACGTGGCGTAAGCAACACGCTGCCGCTATGCTCTTTTTGCCTTCATGCCAGGAATAGACTTTACTTTCCCAGGAAAATCGATGATAAATAAATACTAATAATGTGTTTAGAAAACGTTCCACCATCTTGGAAATATGCTAAATTGGTGAACATAGGACCATTTTACGTACTTGTATATGACAGAAATCGAATCTGCCTCCCCGAAAACATATATATTGTTACCAAAGACAATTACTTAATCGAAATCAACCCATCGTCCGATTTTCCCGGCAAAAGTGGCAGCAATATCAGTAATATACTAAATATGTGAACATATGATCATTTTACAAGGTTGTAAATGCCAGAAATTGATTCTGCGCCCCCGTTAACATATATATTGACCCCAAACGCTACCACTTAATCAAAATCCACACATCGTCTCATTTTCCCGCCAAAAATGCCCGCCATCTTGGTAATATGCTAAGTATATGAATATGTGATCATTTTACAAGGTTGTAAATGTCAGGAATGGAATTTGTGACCCCGAAAACATATATATTGACACCAAACACTACTACTTAATCGAAATCAGCACATCGACCGATTTTCCCGCTAAAAATGGGCGCCATCTTGGAAATATCATCATGAAATGATGGAAAACAATCTGAGATAAAGTCATGAATGCCGCCAATAATAATACATTGCCAAATCACAGTTGATACGTCGATAACATTATAAATAAGGTGAAAATAAAAAATAATTTGGAATATTATCGCAAAATGGCTACCCTCAAATAATGGCCCCCCATACTGTGAAGACCTACTCAAAAAAATGTCAACATCGGTTTTTTGTAATCAAACATCAAAACCTACAAAATAAAGCTTATTCCACGATTTCTACCCGAAAAGCCGACGGATTTACATTAACGATCAGACTACAATTCAAAAAAGTAAGTGAATGTCATTAGATAAGAGAACACGAGAAAAATAGAAACAGTCCGTACATTCACGTGTGTTTATTCATTCTATACTTATAAAAACATGGTAATGCACGGACTTTTTCTATTTTTCTTTCACGTTCTCTTATCTAGTGAGAGTCAATTTTTTTTTAATTGTCAGATATCTTTCACAAACTCAAACAACAACTTTTGGCCTTCGAAGGAATTATTAGTGAGCAGAAATTCGCCCATGTAGCTGTTATCACCCGTCACTTCAGTCAGTTATATAGAAGAATAACTCGTGTTTTCCTTTTGCGTTCGTCACTTCCGATTGTTGAAACATTGATTACGCATCTATCGTCGCAATGATCACTGTGGTACAATAATATTTGGAACGTGTTTAACCAGTTCTATCACAGGTCATTCTGGCTTGTTATTTTGCTTTCACTTGGATAGTACGTAAAGTCTGTTACAGCCCTTTTAATACGAATTTTAGAAATACGTTCTGGTCACATTCTGTTTGAGTGAAAATTTAGGTGGCAGAGCATGATAAATAATCTTGTCAACGTGCAGGGCCGGCGGAAGCAATTCTTGATTGGTAGGGCTAACATCCTAGGTCCTCAAACGGGGGTCCAGGGGCCGCCTAGGCCCCGGAAGCTCTTGGGGGTCTAGATCTTCGGAGACGCTTTCTAAGCGATTTTTGGCTAATAAAATTACTCAGCAATGAAATGAAATTTTATTTCATTTTTAACACCCTTACCATAAAAACACAATCTATGGTGGTTTAATCCTGTGATGCTGAACTTGACAAATTATAAATATATGTATAATGCATGATGAAACTTACAATGTACGTTTATTACCGAAAGATCACGGTTCCTTTCGATATTGGCGTATATAGGACCGTCACTTCCTGGATTATGGCCCCTGATTTTACGAACCGTGGACCCAATAGAAGTAACAGTTTTTATTTGATTGTAAAAAAACATTAAATTATAGCAGGTCAAATTTTTTTTATCCGAAATTGACGAGACTTGAAACATAGGTCTATTTCCCAAAGATCTTGGTTTCTTTCGAAATTTGCACGTATTGGACCGTAACGTCATGGATTATGACCTCTGATTCTACGAAAAATGACATTTTTAGCTTATGGACACTCTAGAGGTCACAATTTTCCTCCAATTTTGATGAAACTTGAAATGTATGTTTGGTTCCTTTCCATATTCGCGCATATCTGATTGTAACTTTCTGGATTATAGCCCCTGATTGTACGAAAAATCGCGTTTCTAGCTTTTGGTCCCTCTAGAGGTTACAATTTTTATTCGATTTAAAAGGCATTCGAATATATCACCGTTACACCATAATTACGGTTGAGTTCACATTTTCTAAAAATGAGACCGAGCTGCCCGACAAAATGGCCGCTCCCCTAAAAGCATACAATATTCAAGGCCACCTCCAGATTTCGCCAATGTAACGAGATGTAAACAAGGCTAGCGCAAACCCTAACCAAAGATCTAGCCCTTACCCTAACTCACAATCCTCTGCAACAATCACTTGCCCTAACTCTGTTTACATGTCGTGACCTTGACGAAATATGCCAGTAGCTTTAACATTAGGATCTGATCGTAATACCCAGGTTGTAGACTATCCAGCGGTTCGAATTTTTTATCCAATTTTGATGATTGTGTACCTTTCACTATGAACTTCAACTGTGTGTTAAGGATCAAAAGTTCTTGGATCAGTTCGACTTTGGTAGCATCAGACCTTACATTCTAGAGCTATAGCCCCTGCTTTTCACGCAAAATCTGAAATATGTACGGATTTTGTAGGCACCCCAGGTGCCCCCCCTAGCCCCCCTACTCCGCCGGGCCTGACGTGTCCTTTACTTTAAAATATAACGCTAAGATGTTCGGGTCTGAATAATAATTATTTTATTTTACTAGCCATTTAGTTACCTATGTTGATATTAAATAAGACTATCATTAACGGAAGTTACAGTCTAATTGCAAATAAGCTACATTATTATTTAGATTATCTGAAATATCATCTATGTAAATTAAAAATAGAAAAGGTCTCTTTAATGATTTTTGGAGCACACCGGATTCAATTGACATATCTTGTTAGTGAAAACCTTAATGGACAACGCACTGTGTACGATCTATTAAATAGTTATATATCCAATCACATCCATGCGGAATGATTCCATTTTTAAGCGTATATACAAGTCCTATACGTATCACAGAATACAAAACTAATCTCTTTCCTTTTATCTAGATTACTTATCTAATTATCTTATGTATCTCTTTTTTGAAATCCCGTCTGGTGCTAAGACAAGAATTCGTATTGTTTAATAAACTTGAAAAGATGTTTTTATTATAATTTTTCCAATGAACTTACAATAGTGCACGTGGATGGAAAAGGATGATAATGTACTGGTAATTAATTACCCTTCCCCTTAAAGGCGGCTCTTTTCCACATGTCCGGAAGTTCCTTAGTTGTAAGATTAAATATAGCTGAGTTAAAGGAATTATACAGTTGCAGGATATGATTTTTTTTAGAATTAGCGCACTGGTTTCATCTGCATCGGAGAGTTTTGAATAGTTTAGTATTTTATTCAGTATTCAACAAATCATTCGTAGAAATACCATCGACGCGTTCATTAAATAGTGGTTATTCCTTTGAGGAGTCATGTTTTGAAACTGAGTTTTTCAAACAACTCTTGGCTGTGATACCGGGAAACTATTTTGATGATACATAATGTTATACTTCTATTATACACATGGGCCCATGTTCAATTCAATCATAGCGAAACAAATGACACCAAAATAGATTATGCGATCTGAACATTCCCGAAACATGTCTACTAAATAGATTGCTGGGCACCATAAAGCGATCTGAATATTCAGGGTAAAATATCATTATTAAAATTATTTTTTAGAATTGAAACACTTACCCGTCCATCATAGCAAATATTGCAGATATACAGACAAGCCATCTCTGGTGGCATGAGATCTAAATCATAGACAGGCAATACAGGGGATGCTATCGACATCACTGATAAAACCACAACAACGGTGAAGGTGAATACAATTTTACCGTTCATGATGAAATATACCTGAAGCTGAAATTACAAGAATCATAGTCAAATTGTTGATGTTGAAATCATACTATACCATGTAATTTATATTCTGAAACATCTTAATTATTTAAAGTAGCCGCTAATTTGAGATTAACATTGTTTTCTTCAATACCCTAAAAATATACCACTCCATTTACTGTCAATAGCGTTTGCGTCATTTTCAAAAGAAATATACCACTCCATGGATTGTCAATGCTGTCAAGAAAAAGCTTTTGGTCATTTCTAAAAGAAATCCAGTCCACATTTTCTATCACCAGTTTTGAATTCCATTAATATTGGCATTCCTTAAGGTAAAGTTAAACACGAGATAAACTCGATGACAGGGCACCGTGTCGAGCAACAGCATGTAAACAAAAACAGTAATAGACCGCTCCGAGAGAAAGTTGTTTCAGTGACTTATAGTTATAAAGTAAAGAACAAAATATTAGAAAAATGGTTCCTACAGTAACCTCTCTGTCCAAAAATATATCTTGTTTCGCTCAACACTTTCTCTAATTTTTTTTTTCAAATAAGAAAGCCACCACTATATCGTATTCTATTTGCCCAATCCCCAACCACCACATCACCCGACCTGACTGTTGACGTATTCTACTGAAGTGTGCCCATATCAAAATTATTTTACTGTATATGTCTTTTTTAAGAACCTATATTTTTTTCTTTCATGTTTTCACTTAAAATTCAAAAATATTACGTTAAAATATCAAATGGATCCGAACCAATACGTACAAAATTCAAATAAAGAATAAAAAACATCGCGTTAAAAAAAAAAAAAATGCTTATGATTGAAAATGTAAATCCAAACTTTGTCTTGCTTACCGTTTCTTGTTGTACTGATCGTGTGGCTGTCAAATCCTTATTGTTAACTTTATTAATATTATTGCCCTTTTATAAAAGGAGAGCCGCGTGATATCGACATTGATTAATTTTTAGCTGTGCTGTCACGATAGAATAAATGTGTAAATGAAAACTAATTCCCTTAATGCGTGATTATTGTATGTGCGGTGATCGTTCAATACACGAGTAATTATTATTGGAAACCTCTACTGTCGCCAAAATATGTTTGCGTCATAAAAGATCAAAACACCTGCATGCTTTTGTTTTAACAGCTTGACAGAATTCATTTACACCTTTCAATCATGACATGCTACATATTAAATTTAATATGTATAAGAACAGCAAAGACGCTGCACGCAGCAATTCCAAATTAGCGGAAGAGGCGCGTACAAAAACGGTGTGGAGAATGCGCTCTGGACGAAGGGGGCGGGAGGTTGGTGGTGGGGGTGGGGGTGGTTGGCGGAGAATAAAGGTTTTATAGACACAAAATTCTACCCACTGATCCTTACGATGAAGTTACACAACAGCATAGATAGATCTTTTCTAATATGGTATTCGGTTAGCTATCTTATTGGAAGACCGATTTTTTGGGACACAAAGGTTAAATAAGTGGGTGCTAACTGCTGCTAATATGAGCTATCTGGGTCTAACTTTCTTCTTGCATCCAACGGGAAGCCAACTCATTTTGAGAAATATTTATCCTGCTATCCAATTAAAAATGTTTATTTAGTCTTTGTATGTATGACCGATTTACGACGGATTAGAAGCGTATAACAACAAAATAATATTCTCAGGGCAGAGATGTATATAGTTCTGAGTCCAATAATGTGAAGGAAAGATGGACCTCAAAAAGAAATATCTGCCTAAAAATGGTCTAATTCCGTTCAGTATTAACAACGGTATGATAAATTGAAAATTTGTCAATATTCGGCATCCTCCGCAGACCATGTACGAAGGCTGGCTGAACAGTTCTAAGCCTGAAAAGGATGGATCAATTGGGTTGAAACGAACTTTTGACACAAACAAGTACAATCATTGAATGAACCATAGACATAAGAACTGCAACTGTAGTGTTATAGTCAGTGCCGGACTGGGCCCACCTGTCCACCTGTCCGTGACAGGTTGGCCTAAGCTCATTTAAAAAAAAGTGTGCCTAAGCCTATAAAGAAAAAAGAAAAAAGAGATAGAGAAAAAGAAAAGAGAAAGAAAGGGGGGGGGGAAAGACGGAAGGAAAAGACAGGTCATTCTGTTATCTAATTGTATCAGGAAATCAAAAATGTGCCTTCTGCTTTGGTCTGAAATGCTTGGAAAATGGGTTTGCGGTTGTCAATTTTCAAAATTTTCCTGGGGGGAGAACAATATTGGCGTTATTTTGATATGAACGTTATAAAAATTGGAAGGAAAGAATACGACTTTAGCGTACCTATAATAATTTATGACAAAAACGAAAAGTTCGGAATCGCGTTAGTGTGAAACTTGTTTGAATTGTGAAGATTACCATACCAGACTAGAAGAAGAAATGGAAGGAAGAATGGACCATGAGGCCCTACACTCACCAATAAGCCCCAAGGAAGAGTTGCACCGCCCTGCCATTCAACCGGACAAATCGACCACATTGTAAATAATCTCACTATGTATATATAACATGTAATTGTCTGCGATATCACCTCGATGGAACCTGACGTTAAATAAAGCTATTTCACACACAGATGCGTCCATAAAACCAAGTGACACTGGTTTGGCGCCCCGTCAATCTCGTCGTGGGCGCGCAGCCAATGTCACTCGGCTTTATGGGCGCCGCATGGTCTCCACTTTAGAGGATAATGCCCCTCCCTTTTCCAAAGTAAAACAGTGGGCTGTGGAATTTAAGCGTTGCAGAGAGAGCCTTAACGACGACCCGCTTCCTGGACGGCCATCAACAGCAACCATTCAAGAAAACATTACCCGGGTGCATGACATAGTGCTTACCGATCGGCGACTGAACACTTAACATATTGCCAGTGTTGTGGGCATCTCTCATGGACGGATTGGGCACATTGTCGCCAACGAGTTAGGAATGACAAAAGTTTCTGCGAAATGGGTGCCGACGCCCTTGGCTGCGGATCAGAAATGTGGTGTCAGATTTTTGACGTTCTGTGACAATCTACGCCGTTTTGAAGCAGATCCTGATATTTTTTTCGCGAGATATATAACCATTGATTACATGAAGCTAAACACTGTTTCTTGCCAGGTCCCCCACCGGCCCTACTAACTATAATAGGAGATTGCAAGGTTATAGAATATGCATTTAATTAGGCTCTTTAACCAGATCATCAATCAGTTAACACGCTGCATGTGCTACACTTATTAACAGCTTTATCATGCCGTATAATAATGCCAAGTTCATCGTTAATATTATAACTGAAATGAAATGAAATGGGGTTCAACGTCCTACCTATCGCCAATTACGATCTGGTATACAAGTGATAAAATCAATCATCAATATACAGTTAAAGGAGCTAAATTGTTAACATTTGGGACCTACAAATTGACACAAATGGGTTGCAACGTATATAATAATGTAATATGAATGTAAAAAAAATGATTTACATTCAATTGTTTCCGTTTTTACTCTAATTTCAAAACAGTTATGTTCGGCGAAATACGCCAGAAGTCTCAATCGAATGGCAATCTCTCGCGTCTGGTTATTCCAATCTATACCGATAGTATTTATTGCGCATGCTTTCCAGAGAAGAATATGAAGGTCACCGTTTGACATGACTTGTGGAATATGTCTAACCCCGTTCTTCCGAGTCGCTTGTTACAAATTGCGCTGAAACGCATTATGGTACACGATTCGTGTACCAATCGTAAAATGTTTATTTTGTCTTAAATATTGGATACCAGAAGCCCATCTTTTCCCGGTAAGCTCACAACACCAATGTTGATTAAAATTGACAAATAATTCGTGTTTTCATTGTCCAAGGTTTTGAATGATATTGAGTTAGAGACTTAGCTACTTTAATGTACCAAAAGATTATTGAAAAATCAAAACTGAGACGTGTCAGTTTTTGTTCACCGAATGTAGAAACTAAAGTGTTTGCCGTACTTAAGCGTGTAATGAAACGAATACTTCTCGAAAGCCAGTCATCAGATTTCAACAAAAATGAACGATAAATGGACAGATTGGATTTCAACTTCTCAAGGATCTGAATCTCAAGAGAAACATAATATGAATAGGGGTCTGTGTTTAAAATTGTCGGACACGGCTGGAATACAAGTCGGGACATTTTCGGCAGATTAAATCCCGTGCCAAATAGCCCAGAAAGCTGAGAATTCAAGATAATGTTTTCTGAGGTTCTTAAATGTAACCTCAACTGAATAAATTGAAAGTCTGGAAATTCAAAGCTATTGGTATCTATAATCCGGTAGCCATTACTTTTAAACTCTTGACTTCAATTCCACTTTTTTTCTGTGACTTTTACCAAATATTGATAATTTGAAACTCTTGACTTCAATTCCACTTTTTATTCTTCGACTTTTACCAAATATTGATTTGATGACTGTATTAAAAACGACATTATCTAAAGTATGCTTTACCAATTGATGTCTAGTCGACATGTTTTCAGAAGACGTTTCATACGAGCAAAAGTGTGACTTTTGTAATTAACTAACAAATTGTGGTTTAATAAACCGTCACTTTTAATATCCTCCCTTGATACGAAATAATAAAATAACAATTGTTTCACCTGCTTTAATAATGAAGCAACTTGAGATTTGCATGTTATGGTCATCCAATTGTCGATGCTTCATTAATTTTCTTAATTGCTAATCATACGAATCGACATACTTTGAAATGTATTAAGACCATGTTTTGACATATTTCCATACATAATTAACTGCTTTTTCGCGTTTAAAAGCTTTCTACAAAATAACACTTACTCTTTCGTGCCATTAACTGGAAGTTCAATCAAAACACTCACTTTATTAAATTAATGTGCATGTATTGAAGAATAGGAATTGTTGATGCGTGTAACGGAAATGTCAGCACGCAAGGATAACAGATAAATTTCGAATTTACATTGAAGTCTGGAGATTCCGTAGTCCAAAGGTTCAGATAGCCTGTGGTTCAGATAACCTGGAGGTTCATATGTCTTTTGGATCTTTTGTCAGGACGTGTATAGGTCCGAAGGTTACTAACCCTTTTTCCAATAGTTCAGAGGTCCGATGGTTCAATATTTCAGGAAATTGTATGTCCGGAGATTGACTCGTCCAAGGGTATCAAGGTGGAAAAGTTACATTGGTACGAAGGTTTAATAGTTCATGAAAGGTCCGACTGTTTATTAGCCCAAAAGTTCCTAACAGGTTAGATAGTCAATAAGTTTTACTTTAATACTTAAAATCGTTGACAGGCAACGAAACTTACAATAAGTAATAAAATTGTAATAATTAAAAATATAAGCTCTCTCAAATTTATCATATGAACGAAGATCGAAATTAATTGAAACTCATAATGTATTTACTTTTAAATAGTTAGCTAATGTCAGATATACGTTTATATTACCAAGGCACTACACTCTACAGAAAATCATTAGGGTCAATCAACTAATTTGTAATTCCTTAATTAGTATATACTTATCTCGTAATTTCGACATAGTTAAATAGCAATTACAACATAATTTTAAGGTCGCTACCTACCTTAATCAGAGCATGATATTAAAAAGACATTATGCAAGCGCTAGACTTGCCATTTGAAGGGTGGTTTTCTTTCCTCCAATAGTTATATAAATTATTATCGAGACATTAATTCACACTACAACTATCTAGATCATCGTCTGGCTTAGCTATTGAGCGAATTAGACAATACACGTCATATGCGCTAATATGACCGACACGGCGGAGAACAGACTGCCAAGCGAAGGACTAGAAATTTTGTGTAGTTGTGTAGTGCTGTTTCTTAAACCTCTTATGATGGAACAGAACTACGCACTACACCACTCTCTCACTTTTAAAATGAACCTGTTTCACTTCTCCTTTTCTTTAGCACTACCCACTGATAACCGAACTGTTTCTCAAAGGTTTAGTGTCTTATTTTTGCTAATATTACCTCTCAAAGCGGAACACAACTAGGCTTTTATATATTGCACG